GCTTTGAAAAGGTAACTTAATAAAGAAAACGAATGTACTTTAAGGCAGGTGAAAATTCATGTGACTGAAATAAAGGGAAAAGTGGAGAAAGAAGTGGAATCAGAAGTCCCACACAGTGCTTGGATTTGTCCTGTGCAAAGGTTAGAGTTGTGATCCATCCCCTTCCATCTGCAGTACTCTGCTAATGTGATCCTTTTGCTGTTCAACCAGGAACCTTGGGGTGATGGTCTGCTCTTCCTTGTGCGATATCGGTGGAGTCATTGTCCCATTCATTGTCTACAGACTGGTGGAAGTCTGGCACGATCTGCCACTGGTAGTCTTCAGTAAGTGCCACCTTGCCTCCTTGCTAGCTGTTCCTCGGGTACAGCAGTGAGGCCCAAGTCTCAAAGGCAGACAAAAGCAGCTGAGACAGTTGCCCCAAATTCAGCAGAAGCCTTGTCCTGTCTACAAAAGCCATAACCTTAATTTTATAACAACCTGGAGCCTGTTTATGCATTCATGTCTACTTTACCCTTATTGTTCCTTGCATTTTAAAGGAAGCTAGAGGTGAATACAGGTTCAACAGATGGCAAAGAGCTGAGAAATGTTTTGTTGAGATAAATACTTTGATGAATTCAAACCTGATGAATTACTGCTATTCGGTGAGGTATATTGTCTCAGTCCAGGAGCCAAAATCTTGAATTTCACACAATTGCCTAATTAATAGAGTACAAGCACTTCAGCTTTTCTGGTGGTCTGTTAACTGGCTGCTTTGCAGTGATTTGGAAAGAGATTGGTAAATAAATGCAAGATGAGTGTTTACAGACCAGTGACCTGAACTCTCAGGTCAGGGCCTGCAAAACTTTTCTGAATCTTTAGATCCGCACAATATTTATAGAAAAATGTCTTCAATGGCAATATGCAGTTTTTTGACAGACAGCACGTTTAGGAGGGTGCTTGTCAGATTTCAAATATAGACACCAACTAGTGGAGAAGTTAATCATATTATGTAGGAGATAACGTTCATATATTTTCTAAATCTTGTTATGCAAGTAGCACAAAAATTGATGTTTCCTGACATCCACCCTGGGCTAGAAAGGGTTCTTTCCTCTTTACAGCTGCCTGTCCAGGCTGAGATGCCCTTGTTCAGTGCATCTTTCACCACTGAACTTGGTTCATTGCTGCCATGCCCTCCAGAGGTGGCATGCTGGTTTTGCATATAGAGCCTTGATATGAACATCTTGAATAACAAAATAAAATGACATTTATGAGTCCTTTGCACCAGGCAGTAGAAAGTGGTGTTTATGCTGGAAAGGGGTATATGCTAACAAGCTCTTTGTGCATCTGTTTGATTTGAAGCTGTTATTGGTTTGATCGCGGGTGGTCTGGTGTTGCTTCTACCTGAAACTAAAGGAAGAGTTTTGCCTGAGACTGTTGAAGATGTTGAAAACTTCCACAGGTGAGTCAGGATAATGAACTCTTAGCAGCTTTCACTTGAAATTGTGCAAAATCCCTGCCCAGAGCTCCTTGGGGAAGCCCAGGGGTTACTTAGCTGCCTCCTATGCTTCCAAGAAGTTGCTAGTGAATTCCCAAACTTTAGCTTGAGAGAGATTTTGTTTTTAGCACTTGTCCACCTAGGCATCTGTAAACAGGGAGCATAGTCCTATACTGTCCTGTGAATATCTGCAATAGTCTCTTGAACCTGAAGCAACACTATTATAAATGTTATTGGTGCTCTAAAAAACCTAACTGATCCTGTGAAATGGAAAAAGGGAATTCTTCATAAGAGCTGCTTATGTGGTAAGTGAAGCACCAGTGTCTACTGAGGTGCTGGAGCCATTCTAGAGGCTTTGAGGATTAGCTGCTCATTTTCTCTAGGGAAGCGGCAGGGCAAGTGAAGAACTTGAAGTTAGAGGCTCACTGAACATCTTCATTCCTGGTTGCCCGCTCATGTCTTGTTATTCTTTGCAGGCAAAGTGGTCCAAAGGCCAAAAAGATCTACCTCCATGTCCAAACGTCAGAAGCAGCACAAGACTGAAGTAGACTGAACTCTTTCTGGGCTGCCTGCTTTAAGGCACTAGCATGGAAAGGCAAATTGGAATAAATACTCTCCCCTATCATGCCTCTTTTTTTTGGTCTGCTTATCCTTTATTATATGGATATTTGTTTGGGGGGGTTTGATGGGATTGTCCCTGTTGCTGCATAGCTGCTTCCCTCTCTGTATGCTATAATATAAATATGTTTCAGAGCTGGAAACTTTTTGTACCAGCTGTGTGGACCTCAACATCTTAACCTGGGGCTGGTGGAGTCCATCCCAACAAAACTTTATAAGCCTCCATGAAGTCTGATACTTTTTTTGGTCTTATGAAGTGGCAGCATAGTATAACAGATGTTTATTTCTGTTGTGGAACTGAGGTGACTACATACTTGGTACAATCTTGTTACAACTTGCAACACATTTACACAGATTTTTTTTTTTTTTGCAAGCCGTTGTGTGTTATGGTGTTCATATGAGTCCATGTACCTTTACAGCAGCCCTCATCAGGGCTTTATTGGCTGTCTTCAAACTCACAAAGATGGACACGTGGAAACTTCAGAGCACGAGAAGGGGTGCATGGGAGAAAGACTTAGAATCATAGTCCTTCATAGTGGGTAATCTAGACTTTTGTATGTGTGTGCAAAACTGTTTCCCTAAGGCTCATATCATTATAAATGTGTGAATGCACAGGCATGCAGAATTTTATTAAAAATATTATGATGAGACTCAGAGTGGGAGGGGACATTAGAGCTGCTATGGGACTGAGAGTCCACCAGAGTCCTGCTCCACTGGAGGCTTGGGATGGGGCTGGGGCCAGGACCAGGACAGGGCTGTATCTCTGGAGAGAGCTGGGCTCAGGCTTAGAGACCTCCAGGACTCCAGGACTCTAAGCTGGGATTTGGCCAGGGGCCCTGTGCCTCAGGGAAGCCTGGGGTAACACTGCATCTGCCAAGAAATATCTAGCACCTTTCAAAATCTTCCTAGTCCTTCCCACTTAGCAACTATAACAGTCTTGTGGATGCAGACAAAAACAGGTGCAGCAGTACTGTTTCTGTATTATTGGGCCATAGCACTGCTGGGGAACACTGGTTTTCAATAAGGATGCTGTATGCATGGCGCAGGATACTGCTGCCCGTTGATGCTCATCTGGAGGGAGTGAGCTTCTACCTCAGCGAGGTGTTGCTGGGCCCTCACAGGCAGTGTGCTGCTCCTCTGGGATTGCTTCCTGGTGTGGTAGTATGGTGATCTCGCCCTTGCTTTCAACTGGCCTGAGCCTCAGTTAATGTCAGTGTTGCTGTGAGGCCCCCAAAGGCAGGGGAGCATGTTGTCCAGCAAAGCAGGGCCATGGCAAGGTTGGTCTGAGAAGGTGAGAACAGATCACAGTGGTGTGACTTTGACCCAGGCAGTTACAAAACTAGTAATTGCTTCAGGGTCAGAAAGGAGCAAACTAGTCCTGAGATGGGCAAGAGGGACAGTGAGGATGTAATTATGTGTCCTGTGGAGCTGGTATCTTGCTGTGAGTGCAGAGGTGTCTCTGGTCTACAACAAATGAAATCTGGCAGAACAGCTGTCCTTATTATAGTTCATTGGTTCAGAACCTGTTGAAAACTCTGCAGAAAAAGAAATGGCAGAGGAGACAAGAAGTCAAGCAAAGCAAATATGGGGATGAATAAACAAGTAACTACAAAAGCTGAAGTCAATGAAACGAGTCAAATCTTATCTAGCCGCACATGATTGCTCTCAAAGTGAGAGCCTTTGTGTCCTGGGTGCATGGTAGGAGTGGATCTCCTCCAGGGTATGAGACAAGCTGTGTAACATCCTGCCTGAGACAAAATAAGAGTTTGCCCACTTCCCTTCCCGTTGATAGCATCTGAAGCTTGTCTGCTGCTGGAGTGTAGCCAGCCCAGGGACAGGGCTGTCCCTGCAGCTTGTGAAGGAGCACTTCATGGCCCAACCATCAGCTGGCTCAGGCACCCCAGCTGTGTCCAGGTTAATGGAAGTGGAACTGACCTTTTAGGAAGACCCTGTCCCCTGCCCAGTTACTTAAAACCACAGTGTAAGGACTGTGCCTAAAGAGAACATGAAATCTCCATGTTTCAGGGTACCCACCAACTTTTGTACCTGGGTTTTGGAAAGAATTGCTCTTTACTTTTGCAAAGTTTCTGGTGTACTCCCTGGCATCATCTGATGGACAGCCTGGCTGCAGATGTGGTCTTTCAGCACTTTCTAGCACTGTTTTTGTCCTCTGCTGTTGCTGTTAGCACCAACATCCAAACACCACTATGCCAGCATAGCTGCTTTTTGGGGAGGCTCCAGTGCTAATTTTATCCCATCAAACATGGCCCCAGGCTCTGTGGTACATCAGAGACTCACTAAGGCTTCTTGTCTGCAAGCTGTAATCTTAATGTAGTTGTTTTGTCAAGGTGTTCTTGTGTGCACGTGTTCATGAATTGGAAGAGAATCACATCCTACAGGGCAGTACAAAGCTCATGTGGTTTCCAGCTCCCCTGTTTATTGTGTGATGCACGTGCTAGATTTTATTTACAACCCATCCCTACTGCATAGCACCTCCTGTATGGCCTTGTGTCATCCTACATTCTATAAGTGTTTTAAAATATTAAGAAATTGGGTCTTTTCCCGGAGCTGGGACTGGTCAGGAGACAAACCTAAATCCAGTGAATACACACAAGTTGATGAATATGATGTGAATCACATTTTAAGTGCTGCCCAAGGGCTGTGGAGAGGACCTTTCAACCACAGTGATTTCACAAGTGGTTTTTCCAGCATGGTGTATTGAGGGAGATCTGCTTAGAAAGCCACATCCTTTTTCTTGGCTCATCTTCCCACCCCACCCAATGACCGCCTTGCCTCACTCCTTACTTCTTACAGCTGTTTTGGAGTTTGGCCATGCAAAAAACCAAACTTATGGCATTAGGAAAACAAACATGTAAACATAAACTTTAATATGCATGGCACAGTCTTGTTATAGTTCATGTCCCTCCCAGTGGATGTCCATGACGGGGCTTTCTCCCTCCACCATCTTGCTGATCCCTAATGATGTTGTCATTGGATACAGCCACCTCCATGTCCTGAGGCTCTCCAAGTCCTCTTTGCCTTCCTTTTCATTTTCCAGCTTGCCTAATATGCAGTCAAATTCTGGGATGCCAAAGCTTAAAAGTCAGTTTGAGATTTAAAGTGCTTATTTTTTTGTACATGGTTCTCTGGAAGAGGACGAGTAAATGGGGAAGGAAGAAGGACTTCTGGATGCCCCAGACTCTTGAAGCAGGCTTTTCAGCAGCAATGCTCACTGCTTGGCAGCAGGAACTGTCTCACAAAACCAGTCTGCTGGGCACTAGGAGCCATAGAGCAACTCACAATATCAAGATTTTAAGGGTGTAGGGGGAATTGTAACAGTCAACAGTTACCATCTACATGCTTGCTTTCATGCAGAGTCAGGTTTAGCTCAGAGGTGAGTTGGGCTCATGAATGCACTCTTGCTTGCTGCAGAAATGAGCTGTGAGTGAGCAGCCCGAAGAGATTTTTAGTTGTATAACAAGCAGAAGGAAGTGTTCTTTCAGGAATTTCCAACTCCCACTGTATGAGTTGCTGCTGCCAGATGCCCTGAGGATGCCAGAAGCATGAATGTGTTCAGAAAACAACTGTGGAAGGGTGGTCCATAAGGAACTAAAGCAGAAATGTGGGGAGATGACCTCCGGGCTCAGGAAGTCCCTAAGCTGCAGACTGCTGACAGCTGAGAGAGTGCAATGGGGGGAAGATCACTGCCTTGGCCTGGCTTGTCCCCTGCATGTGTGGTCAAGGCCTGGGCTCCCTATGGCTGTTCTGCCTCCCTGCCTGAAAAATGCCGTATCTGGGGCAAGACTGGTTCTTGACGCACTGGAGCATGTCCAGAGAAGGGCGACGAAGCTGAGGAAGGGTCTGGAGAACAAGAGGAGTGGCTGAGGGAGCTGGCGTTGTTTAGTCTGGAGAAGAGGAGGCTGAGAGGGGAGGCATTATCACTTCTACAACTACCTAGAAGGAGGCTGTGGTGAGGTGGTTGGTTGTCTCTTCTCCCAAGTAACAGGTGATAGGATGAGAGAAAATAGCTTCAAGTTGCACCAGGGGAGGTTTAGATTGGATATTAGGAAAAATTTCTTCACCTGAAGGGTTTTCAAGCACTGGAACAGGCTGTCCAGGGAAGTGGTGGAGTCACCATCCCTAGAGGTGTTTAAAAAATGTGTGGGTGTGGTGTTTAGAGACATTGTTTAGTGATGGACTTGGCAGTGCTAGGTTAATGGTTGGACTCGACGATCTTCAAGGTCTTTTCCAACCTGTGATTCTATAATTCTTACTTGGAGCCAGTTTCGGAAGCCAGAACGTGGAGATAAATAATTGTTTCTTTGCTTCTGTCTTGCCTGTGGAAAGAAAGCGGAAAAGGCAGATGATGGTCCTGGTGGCTAACAGCATGATTCACCAAATAATCTATATGTTTACATTCCTTGAAAACTAGATTTAAAGGAGATCCCATCACTGGCAATTTTTCAGATGAGGTTAGATTATTCTGAAGAGCAGCAGAATAACAGTAAATTGGAGATTTTCAGTGGCCTCATTGCAGCTGTGCTGCTGCCTGGAAATCCTATCACAACACTAGCATTAGTAACTTTAACTCTGGTATTTCCTACTGTAAAAACTGTTATTCCAGGTGCTTTCTAAAGTAATGTCTGGGCATGTATTTGCATGTATGGACTTCCTGACTTTTCCTAGATGAAATCTCTCCATGCTTTACCCTGTGCTATGTTGCCATGCCTTTCTGGCCAGGCTGGGTCCTTTTCCTCCCACACCCAATTTTTCACCAGGCCAAGTCTCTTTTGGCTCTGCGTTGGCTTCAGTAAATCTGAGTGGCTCCTCCAGTGCCTATGTAGCTCTACCCTCATCCTGGAAGCTGCTCCAGCAGATACAAGTCATGTCAGAAGGTGAAAGAACTGAAACTATAGGACATTCCCTGAACTTCTTCCCCAGATTTAAAACCACCCCTCAGCCAGCTTTGTCCATGTTGGACGTGAGCATCTCTAGGGGCATCAGCAGTCCCCTCACTGGCACAACTGTGTATGAGAGGTGAGATCAGGGTGGTGAGCACCCCTGGGCACATGCGGGGTGCAGCTGGCAGCCACAGATGCTTAGATGGAATTGCTAAGTTTTTGGGAGGATAGCATGACTGAGGGTTGTGGTCCCTGGCTTTACTTTGCATGGGCACAACAGCCAGCTTGAGCAGGGTTTCCGTGCCATCAACCTGTTCACCTTTCCCTGAGGCCCCTCTGCCTCACCTTCCCTGGGCAGGCAAGATGGCTGAATGAGATGCCAAAAGCTTCTGCCACCACACCAAGGTGCTCTCCTGCTCAAAAGCCTGCTTTGGCTGCCAGTAGTGGCCAGCCGTGGCAGGGAGGACATGTTCCCCTGTGCTGACAGATGGCTCTGAAGGCAGAGTGGCTGTATGTGCTGCCTAAGGAGCGGCCAAAGCCCAGATTGATACTTTTCAGATGGCCATGAAACTGCCCTCCACACTTTCTCTTACTGTCTAGCTCCCATGTAAGGTGTTGGTGGATTCTGGTCAGATCATGCAGGAGAGCCCAGAGCCTGATCTTGCCAGCCAGGGATGAGTTACCCACCAGCCATCCACCCTATTTTTATGTCTATAACAAAACCCATCTGTTCCTCGGAGATGTACAATAACAGTTTTTGCTTAGCAGATTCTGTAGTTGTAAAGGAGGGTTGCTCTGCTCTGTGGGAGAGGAAGGTCCTTAATGCCAGACCTGTGCAAATTTTCAGCATCTTCGATGGTCTCAGGCAGAGTTTTTCCCTTCATCTCAGGCAGGAGCAAAACCAAGCCGCCATCAATCAAGGCAATCACAGCTGTAATCACACAACAAGGATCACAAAGGCAACGCAGTGGTCATGCCTAAGTTTAATTCCAAGTAACTAATTAGTTTTCATTGAAGCACAGCTGCTCCAACAATTGAATAAGGACTACTCAAAGTGATAACAGCTCTTGGCTTTTTATCTATGTCATTCTCATTTTAAAATAACTGCAGACATTTCTGAGGTGCATCTGAGTCCTGGAAAGCTATCGTGGGCTGCAAGCCCAGAGGTGGTCTGGCTCCCTTGCTTTGTGCATGTGGTGTGAAGGAAATAGATTGTGGGTCTACTTGTCCAGCTGGTATGGTATGTGACTTTTTCTGTAGGGAGACAGGAGGTCATCCTGCTCAGGCCTCAGGTCCTGTAACCATGTGCAGATGAGAGAGGCAGAACCCAAAGACATTCCTTCCTTGAGAAGGGCCCAGCAGGAACAAGACAAAGCTTGAAACAGCTTTCCCAAAACCATGGCGTCCCTTCTGTTGCAGAAAGGGCTAAGGGGTGACTTTGATTCAACTTCCAAACACTCAGATGAAAGAGACTTACCAAGCTGTGCCTTATATGTGTACACACATACATTTATAAACATCTCTTTCTGTTTTTTTAGAAGGCAAGAAGTAGTTCACCAAACTCATCCATCTAGGCCATGGCCAACCAATCTGTTTCAGGGCTCTTACCAAAGACAACCAGGGGCAGTTCATGCCAGAGTTCCACTAGTCTGTACACGAGGAAGGGAGTTATGATCCCACCAAGGTCACACATGGATGAGCAGACAAGGACTCCCAGGTTCCTGTGAAGTGGAAACATAGGCATGCACACACACACAATGTCACAGCTCTGCACCCCAGCACCCTGGCAGGACCCCCACAACTGGGAGCAGGGTATGAAGAGCAGGTCAGCACCCTGCCCAGGGTATTTGCAGCTGAGGGGAGGACGGATGAGCCATGAGCCTCAGGGAGAAAAAGACAGATAACACCCTGGCTCTTAGAAAGGGGCTTGGAAAGCCTGGCCCCTATGGTGGTGAACATAATCAAAAGAGAACACAAGCAGAGCACTGTACCATGGAGAAATGCTGCAAGATGAAATGGGTGAAGAAGGAGAGAGTTAGACAAGGCAATACATTAAGACTAGCCTTATATTGCAGGACAGATGTAAATGAGCATTTGACCTCTCCTGGTTCACTGAACTGCATTGGAAGGGGGCCTGGAGGGTGTTTGGGAAGGTTTCTTACACATCCTCTCGTCCTCTCACCTGCTGCCTTTGTGCTGGGCTCAGAAGTGGGGAAGGGTCTTTGCCCAGGTAAGGTGGTGGGTTTCTGCTGCACCATCCAGCAGCTCTCCTCCACCTTTGCAAGGTGTATTTTATACATGCAAACTCCTTTTGCAGGGCACTGCGTGAGCCACAGGCTACTCAGCTGCAGCCACAGCCTTGAGTTGGCCTCTTGCAGCCTCTTCCAAAGAAACACCCAGTGCTTCTACTAGCTAACAGAAGATGGTGCACTTACCTGAGAAATGTTGGATACAGCTCAGGATTTACCAAGCAAATAATTTCGTAGCACATGGTAATTCCCATCCTGCCCAAGCAAGCTGCAGTCATTTTAAGCCAATAAAGACCTGGAAAGTCATTGTGCACATTAAGGCTGGAATATGAAACTATGTATTTTTTTTCTGCTCTTGACATAAAGCAGCATTAAAGATGTAATTTAAGGAAACAGTAAGTTTGCTGTCATGAAATGTCAAGAGGATAGCACATGATGGTGTTCTGTTTCACTCAGTAATGAATTTATAATGCAGTTGTCTTGGGATTTGAGCAAATAACCAAGACTTGAGAATGTGCTGTCACAGAGATGAGAAATCAATGATATAAAGTAGTTTAGGTTATCAAGTGCATTAACCAAAAGCTTATGCAAGATGCCATTTCTTGCTTGCAATAAAAATAAACAGAGGGCAGCTGCGTTGTTTGGTAGTTGAAATCTGGTTATCAGCAATATACTATATACTTTTGAACAGAGGCTTCTGATGGCTTTCAGGCTGGATTTTCCCCCTGTCTCTCAGTGCCTACTTTACAATTGCTTTCACACCTGGAGCTACAGATGTTTGCTGCAAATAAATGACTATCCCAGCCCTGCATGTAGAGTCAGCCCAGGCCACCTCTGTGTGTCATGTGGGCTTTTAGATCCCAGGCTGACCTTGGATCATGGCTTCAGCTATTTCAGCTATTAGGACACCTGGAGCATTGAGTTTATCCCTCATTTACCCAGCTGAGGGATGCATCAAGCCCAGGGCAGTATTTTATCTGTTGGTAAGCCCTGGCAGCAGAGCCTCTCCAAAGCTGAGATGCCAGCTCCTGCTGCATGAGGTTTGCAGCAGTTGCAGCTGTGGTAGTCTGGGGCCCTTGCGGCCTCCCTGCTAAAGTTCTGCCTGCCCCACAGCCCCTGCAGAGCCTGGGTGGAAAACAACCCTTTTCTGGAGGGCTGGACTTTGGGCTTTGAAAGTGGCGCAGCTCTGGGCTGGCGGTGCTGATGCAGGCGAGTGGGGAAGGCTGAAGTCTCTGGTGGTGAGTGATGCTGCCAACCCTGTGGGGCATTAAACCATGGGTTGAGCTGGGTTGGCAGCAGCATCTTTACTGACCGTGCCTGTTCCTGGTGCAAGGCTCTTGCATGAGCACTGCTGTACCCCTTGCCCTGGCACAGGCAGCAGCTGGGGGGCCGTGGGACTCCCACCCCTGCGCTCCCCCAGAAAAGCCCAGCAGTCCCTTACATAGCCCCTGCGCTTGCCAGTCACTTGTTAAGATGAGTTTCCATTGTCTGGACACCGGGGATTTTTGCCTATGACATTTTTCCTTAACATTTTGTGTTCTTTGTCCTTATCCCCCTGTGAACTGATGGTTGTTTAGCACTGTAATGCCTGTGGTTTCAGTTTAGTTGTATGCCATAAAGAAAAAGGAAAGATGTTTCATTTGGTGGCCTCTAGGGGACAAATTGCTTTGAGGCTATGGCCCTGGAGAGAATGCTTAGCTAAACAAAAGCCAAGTGCCTGTCATCATGGTTGCTCAACATCCTACATTTATAGCAGCAGCGCTGTTGATGTGTAGATGCAGAAGGCACTTAGTGTACCCAGATGGTATTTCACTCTGTGCATGTGCCATACCTTTTCCTTTTCAGAAGCAGAAACCATGAGGATTTTTGGATGAAAACTCTGAACTGTGCATTCAAATCCAAATTTTAGGCCAGGGAAAAATTGTGGACCTAACATGGCATGTCTCTTGATCTAGCACTTGCAGGCTTGCCATTTGATTTGATGCTATTTTGGAAATTTATTTCGCCCCATTTATCCAGCCTCTCCTTAGCTGGTATAAGTGCTGATGGTGGGATATACATTAGCTTTTGTGAGAATTAATTGTTGGAGGAGGTTTGCATGACTCACTGTCTGGGACTAGCGCTGTAACGAGGCAAGCGCTTCCTGTCATCATGTTTGCCACAGCCCAGGGGTAGCGACAGCCAATGCGATCCAGTGTTAGGATGAGGATGAAGGCGGCTGGGAACTCGACAAGAGCAGAATAGAGGAAATCCAGATACATGTTTCCAGAGGCTATTCCCATGTGCATGATGAGCCCCTGGTAGACAACGGAGCTTGTGAACCTGGGCAGAGAACAGGGTGCAAATGAAGCCAAACCCTCTGGGAGAAAGTTCATGCAAAGAACTGAGATGTGCATCTGGTCAGGAGCAAAAGTGGCTTAAAGCGATGATTATTTAGGGCACCAAATCACACACCTCCATTTGGGCTGCAAAAACATTCTCTTACCAGCTGTACATCAAAATGAAAGTGTGTTTTCTTATCTGAGGTGTCCTGACCAGATCTAGAAATGAAGGTGCTGGTTTTTCTCCATCTTCATTTTCGAAGCTCAGATTCTGGAAGCACAAGCCACAGAGGGACAAGAGATTACAGTAGGCAGGGGTGAGGGTGGTGAGCACTGCAATTAGTATTTTCCTCTAGGTTAATGGAAGGATGAGGGTTTTCATTTTCCAGTTAAGGAGCTGAGAGGAAAGTAACTTCTCCAGAGTGTTTTATAGAAAGGAATAATGAAAATTTATATAGACAGCCTTCATATCTGTGCAGCCATGTCTATAAGGCTGTTGCATGGCATGAAGCAGCATTTAAAAAAAAAGTGTAAGAATGTTCTGGAATTTTCAGTCATGAGATTTGGTGAGTTTCCTGTTGACTGATACTACTTAAAGGAAGAACTTTTCTTGTCTGCTGGCTACTTTTGAAAGCCTCTTTTCCCAAATATGCTCTGCCTAGGGGCAGTCAAAGAGAAGAAAACTAATTTGCCTTTGCTTTAGGGAACTGCAGTGCTTTCAGTTGCCAAGCTGCTCTCTACTCTAAACCCAAAACAATCCTAAATTATAACATTATTTGCCTTGAGGTTTGCATATATGCAGCAAATGCAGTGCAGTCACCTGGAAAGAGAGAGGTAGCTTCTTCTTATTTCCCCTGGCAATGCGCTTAATAACGTCCATAGCTTTGTCATTTTGCTTTTGAGCTATCAGCCACCTGGGTGACTCGGGCAGGCACCTGCAACACATATAAGCATGACAGCTACTGGGAAGGAAAATGCATGTTGCTGGTATGCAGAAAAAAAATTGAACTGAGTTTCTCAGGCTAGGATCCTGTAGCATATTGAATATCCACAGGTGGTAATGAGCTCAGTGGTAGCTGTGGCTTTCAGTTACTGCACTCTAATTTGTGCTCCACTTGAATGTCAATGTAGCCTGATTTTTAATCTGTTTTCAAAGCTAAAACCAGTTTATTGTAGTTTGGAAACATTAGTCTACAATAAATTCTGTTGATATGTTGTAGAAATGGGTAATAGTCTGTGGATATAAAAAAATAACAGTTGTAAACCCGATCCTTAAGCTCTTCCATGTTAAAAATAATCTTTCAAAAAAAAAATCCCCAAAAAATCTCCAAATTTGTTTCCTGATCTGGTTATAGAACTTTCTAAGGAGCATTTTCACTCAATTTTTTTACAAAAAGCCAACAAAAGTCTGTTGATTACATTAGGAAAAAAACCAAAACAAAACAGCTATTTTAATTAATTATTAGAAAACTCACTTCTCACAGTAGCTGGAAGTAGCATTCAATAAATAGTGACATTAGTCTGCGATGAGTGGCAAGGACTCCAAACACAGAAGCATTACAACATGTTGCAGGTAGGCCCTTGCTCTTAAGTGAATCAAACTAAAGCCCTGGGCAGGGGGAACAGAACAACAGAAAAGGGCCAGATCTGAGCTGATGTTGTCCCTCTTGTCTGGGAGCTGGAAAAGCAGGCACTTACCAATAGTAGAGCAGGAAGAAGAAACTGGGCAGCGTGACAGCAAGCTGGAGCCACCTCCAGTGTGGAAGTGCATAAGCCAGGGCAGTGAGGACGAGGAGTCCCACGGTGAAGGCCAGCTGGTAAGTGATGCCCACTGCCCTCCGGTAGTTTGAGCCAACAAATTCTGCAACTGCATAGACAAGTTGTATGAGCAAAAATTAATTGGTTTGGAGAGCCAGGGGAATGTAGCTCCTGCCAGCTAAACTCATGTGAAGCCCTTGTGCTTAGCAGTGCCCTTATGTCATGGTGCACGGGCATGGACTTGGATGGGAAAGCAGAGCAGCTCTGGGTCCCCAGTGTAAATCACAGGGTAGGTCCTGACGCTTCCTCCTCTGCTGGTCAGCTGGGGACTTCACCCCTGCCTGTAGGGGTGTCAGGGCCTCACCCATCAACACATGGCAAAGGTTGCTTCCTTCCTCCCATTCCTTCTAGGTAAGAAGTAAATGGGAAAATAAAATAGCTGGCAAATAAAATAGACAGCTGGCAAGATCTTGCCTCTAGACCTTGTCCTTCATTTTGGCATGTGCCTCTCCAGGTATGAAGGCTCCATAGTTTTCAGAGCTGCCTCCTAATTATTCCATTTATGCCTATAAGCTGGTGCCAGCTTGGGTCACAAACACCTGCACTGAAGCAAAGAGGTGCAGTTTGGCAGTAAGTAGCACAGTGTCACTGTCTGCTCTTGTTACACACGGCTCCTTAAAAATTGGATGGCACCAGCAGGGTCAGCCCTGTTGCTGAAGAGGGGTTTCCTGCCCAGAAAGTGTACTTGCAAGCTGCCGTAACTGAGGACGTAGCCAGTCAGCCAGCCCGCCTTGCTGACCAGACCCTGGATCAGGCGGAAGATCACTGTCCAGGTGTAGGTGGGCGCAAAGGCCATGAGAACCCCTGAGACCGCATTGATGAGGACTGTGACCAGGAGGCAGAGTTTGCGGCCAAACCTTCAGAGGGAAAGAAGAAAAGAGAAGAAACAGGCTCAGTTGCTGACAGGGTAGGGTGGCAAACCAAAGGAGTTAAAGAGCATGGAGATGGACCCTTTTCCCCTCTATTTGAGTAGGAGTCTGTATCAGCTCTTCCCTTTGCAACATTTTTCATCTCAATGGAAACTCATGAGATTCCCCTGTCCTGTGTCCTTGCTCACTTCTTGTTAACGACTTAGCTAATGGGTTCAGGAAATGCTCTTATATGGCTCTTCAGCCCATCTTTCAAAGCTGCAATAGCTTTTTACTGGGGATCTTGTTTGATAACTGTGAACTTTACCTATGTTCTCATCAACCTTGGCTGACTGTTGAGCTCTTCATGAAAACGGTTTTGTATATCCCTGTTTTTTTGTCATTCACTGTATAACCATGACTCACTGATAATCAGAAATAAATTGTTTCCAAAAGAAACAAGCTTACTGGAACACTGGAAAGGCATTTCTTTTTCTAGCTGACAAGATACATTTTCAGTTAGAAGTATGATTAAAAAAACTTTCCTCCTGTTATGAGATTGACATAGAGACGTTTTTGACTTGCCTTGAAGCCCAGCCCAGGAGAGCCTCATCAGACCTTGAGGGGAGCCCTCTCCTGCAAACGCCCTTTCCCAGTGCCCTAGCTCTGAATGGCAGAGGCACAAGTGATGCATGTTAGCACTGACCTTGGGAGCTGTCTAGGGAAAAAGGCATGCCATTTCCAAGCCACCTATGACTCTCAAATGTCAAAGTCAGCACTCTGGATGGGCGCCCAGAGACTGATCAAATAAATGAGTAGGTCTAATCCCTCAGAGAGAAGCAGGTTTGGAAAGAGCTTATGAAACCTCCTGTGAAGCACTTAAAATGTTTGCAGAAGTTGTCCTGAGCACAATGGGTTGCAGCAGTCTCACTCAGGGGAAAACCAGCACTCCAGCTGCACTAAGGCTGTCTGACGAGAAGAGGATGGGTGTCTCAAATCCCAGAAACTCAAAATTCATGGGCCTTTTTCCCATTCCCTCTACTAAATGTGAGGCTTCTGTGGTTGTTTCTGCCCTGAGCATGACTCTCTATGTGTATGGGATTTTGTATTGCTCTTGTGTGCTTGCAGTGCTTTAGAACTGTGGTAAACTGGGGCAGAATGGCAGTAAGCAGAGCAGTAAAAAAAACCTCGATACTGTGATGTGCGTGTGTGTTATCTTAGCAGCAATGATATTCTACTCCCTCATGTCTTTTCATACTTTTGCTTGATAATAAGCATTGGTAAAAAGATCCTTCAGTATTTTGACACTGAGAGAGAGAGCATTTCAGATATGTCTGGCTGTGGGTTTGGGAGCTCCGGTTTCTATTGGCTCACACAACCATATGCTGCCAAGAAATGCCTTTGCTAGTGAACATTATTGCCTAATCCACTTCTGTGCTGAAAAGGTGGTCTGAAGAGTGGTGCCTCTGATGGTCATGGGATCTGCTTGCTGCTGTTTCATGCCCTGTCATGCCTGGATGAGTGGCTGATGCATATTCCCTCCTTTGCTCCCATGACCTGTGCACCATTATCTGAGCATCAATTCTGGGAAAAAAGAATACTTTCAAATTCACTATAAGACTGTCTAGAAAACAAGAATTCATGTTAAGGGGCAGCGAGGATGAGAAAGAGAGGATGAGGGGTTGATGTATGTTTCTAATACAAAAAAGAAACCAAGATCTTTCAAGATGTGTGTGAAGAAAAGCAAAAATTGGCATGTGTGTGTCAAATTTTGTCCTTCCAATCAGACAGGGAACTCCAGCCCAGGACTGCAGACTGGACGTAGAACTTTTGTGTACTACTGTAGCCATCTGATGTCTTTCACCTTTCTGCTAAAGGTGTCGACTCACATAAGATGTGGCCAGAAAGAATTACTTTGATAAATCACTATCTTCTGATGACAAATCCGTTTAAGCAGAAAGCTTCCATCATGGGCTGGTTCACTGGCAGTAAGCTAATGGTTTCCTGAGGACTGGAAAGTGGTCTGTCCAAACCATGTATAGGTGAGCTGCTTCAAACCAGGCTTGCCCATGTGGTGGGAACAGGCTGAGGTTAGCTAGGCCTGCGGTAACCCGTTTCCCCTCAAAGGTGGTGCACACAATCTAATCAATGATGTGTTTGCCTGCAACAAAACATGGGAGAGGGGACCCTCAAGACAAACACAGTCCTATCCTTATTTTGTGACACAATTTTATATTTTATGAAGGGCCTGATCAGCATGTGAGGAAAAGGCTATTGCCCATCTATGTTCTTGAGAATACAAGAAAAAAAACATTTCTCCAAGACAGACTTGACTCTACAGGAGGATTGTTTACCCCATGCTATGTTCACCTCTCCAAATTCCAGTCTTAGCCTCTCACCATGTTACTGAAAAATCTGGTAAACGCCCACAGGAAAGTCAGGTACAAAACATTAAACTAGTTTAATTTGTCTAACAAAAAAACCCACCCAGTGGCCAGATCTATAGCATGATGACATTTGTGGTGGAAAAGAGGAGGTGGGGGATTATAAGGTCTAGATCTGGCTACGTACAGAGTCAGCTGTTAAAAAGGGGGACCAAAGAAAATTTAAGAAGGAGCAACTTCTTCTATTTCTTTATCTGAGAAAAACCCTCCCATTTTGAAACTGATTTATGGCCCTCTGGATACTGTTAAATTTAACATGAATCAAGTTTATCACAAAGATAGGCAAATAGCTCTTGGTGCGTGAGTTAAAATTTCATCTCAAACTCTGAGCTTGCATTGCAGTTTGCCACTGTGAAAGAAAACAAAATCTCTTCACTTGTGAATATACAGATTCCCCATGGAGCCACTGAGAGGCTGTAAAAGTGAAGAAGCACCATGGCATTTCTGTGGATTCCTGGATCACAACAGCCTTTGAAAGCCAGGACTTGAGAACCACCATCTACCCCTTTGTAAGTGACACATAGGCCTTTTAGATCAAGGTTTAAGTGCTTTAATTTCCTCTTAGAATTGTGAATATTGTACAGAGATGTGCAGGAAGCAGATAGCCAGAGGAAACATTTAATCTCACACCTGTCTACATACTACCTACCTGTCTGCTACATAGCCAATGCTCATGGAGCCAATAAAAAATCCAGCATTCACACATGACTGGAAGAGGTCCAGCTTCCAGGAGTCCTCACACACCAGGTTAAACTGCAAGAGCAACCACAATTAGAAGAGCAGGAACATTCAACACAAACCATGGCTTTTCAAGGAGGGATGGTGGAACAAAACCAATGACACACAACTAGAAAACAAGCTCCAAAAAAACCCCAACTCTAATCTCTTAAACTGTCATCTGCAATACATCTTGTCCAGATTTTCTCAGACTTTGCAGAAAAGTTACACCCTGGAAAATGATTGCACAATGACACATAAGGAGAGTGAAAAAGGGAGAGAGACTTCGAACAAACAAATAAGAAAGTTCAGAAAGATCTCACCCTTTCCTCTGCACCCATCTGCTTAAAATTTGGAAGATGCTTAGAGCATTGATTCCTTCTCCGATGCCAAGGCCTGTCTCTGACTGTGTTTGGCAGGGTTGCCATGAGCCCTGCTGGAGGGGAGCCGAGATGGCTGTCCTGCTCCTCACTAGTGCTGGCAAAACACCCAGAATTCGGTTGACTTTTCTCTGCAGTGAACTTCTGTAACTTGCTTTTGATTTACAATTAACAGGTTACCAACCTGCACCCAGCAAGGGGAGGAGGGCAAAGTGGTGTTAACGTCTCTATAGCTGGAAATATTCATTCAGTTGTAACTAGACTTCATTCCAGAGCAAAGCATGAAAGTCTTTGGCTGCTTATTTAATCTCTTTCTAACCTGGACAAGTTTGCTGGGGCTGTACCAAACAGCTCAGCTTAGTTTCCCTGGATCTCCTGATGCAGAGGATGGCTGGGACTGCTCTTCTCTGCCCCAACCCATCTCTCCCAAGGGAAAGGGAGGTGGAGTTGCTTTGTAAGGATGATGACAGCAAAGCAAGGGAATATGAAGGAAGGAAGCTGTGAAGTATCCAGTATCACAGTTTTTTGAGAATAGGTTACAGAAACACCAGCTAGGCATGGTTTAGGTATAGTTAATACAGGTTTGGGACTGGAGGAGGAGTAGAAGAGATCTCTTTTGAGGCCATTCCCATGCTCCAAATCTCTGGCTTGTAGACTGTTCATAGTGGTTGGCACAGTTTTTCACTGTCAAAACTATCTGGTTTAGATACTGTAAGTTGGAAGAAAAGAACACTGCCGTTGCTAATTCATTATCTGACAAATTTAGCCCCATCTTCTACTTCTTCATTGTATGTGAGTAGCTGTTTATGACCCAAATGTGCAATTCCTCAGTTTGGGCTGTGGGTTGCTACCCTCGATTTGGTGACTGAAATACTGAATTATGAGAATAGGCATTGTCTGATTTATGACAAACTTGTAGTATTATCCTCACAGAAAAATCAATAATTTCCCATTATTTATGCATATAAATCCTCACTCTAAGTCCCTAGCAAATCCTGATATTCCCTGTTTATTAGCAGTCAGGCTCAGGTCATGCACCAAAAGCAAACTGTCCCAATCCACCATCTTCTAGCTTCAAGGTGTGCAGGCAAGAGTGGTTTTGCTGGACAAATTGTGTCTTACCTCAGTTACAAGAGAGGTCCCCGGGGAGTCGTAGACCCAGCCATCCTGGCAAGGACCGAGAGGAACAGTGCTCTGGTTGCCCACGAGGCTGCCAAGAGGGTCTGTGCAGCTGACGCCCGTCGTGTTCCAGTCCCCCTCGTACCTCTGGCAGCGGCTGCTGAAACTGGGCCCGTAGCTGCCCCACTCAGGAACCGCGCGATTCAGCTGCTCCTCCGGGCTCCAGCCACACTGCTGGCTCAGCTCGACCACCCCGGGACTGAAGCAGTGATGCTCGGGGATGAACCCGAAGAAGACGACACCCACGTACACCGGGGTGAAGGCAGCAGAAAGCAAACACAGGACAAAGAAGGTCTGCTTCTGGAACCTGTCAAATTCTCCAATCTGCTCTAAAATGTCATCCAGGGTTGGCATCTTTGTATGTTGCAACTCATTGAAATATCTCACTCAGCTGCTTTCCAGGGCTTTGCCTTTCACTGCATGCTTAAATAACAGCTGAAGTGTTTGTCCAAAACTCACAAATAATTAATTAACTTTGTCAATTGTCAAGCCATGCATCGCAACCTTACTTTCTCAAATACCATTTCTAAACACACTTTGGCTGTCCTGTTTAGGCCTCTATTGTTATTTTGTTTTATATATGACATGCTGGAAATACAAGAGCTAATGTCTTAGATTATGGTCCTTCCAGTCTGTCACTGAGAGTGTGTCAGTGCACAGTCTGAGGTAGGTGATAATTCCTTTGTTCAGTATTTTCAGAGGCCATAAATATGATGAAAGCAGTGTTTTCCTTTCCCTTGTATATACACAACTGAAGAACGTTATACTAAAAATTACAATGGATATGGATGACCACTTGTGTGCTGCTTTTGGAGAGTAGAAAAAGACAGCGCAGAGCAGACACAACAGGACAGATTTCTTTTAGGCACCTAATAGCTAAATAATAGTGTGGTGCCCCAAATAGGAAGCAGACCAGCCTCTGCAGTACATGTTGGCACTTCTGAATCAGAGATGCCCAGACCAAATTTGCAGGGTTTCACACATGGCTGCCCCGCACCCAAGGACCTGAGAGTGGCCCCAAGACCTATCACCAGCCCTTGCATGCCCACCCTGTCCTCTGCCTCTTGCCCTGCACCCTGGGGAGGTGTCAGGTAGAGGCTGCCGTAAACCACAGTCCCATCTCACAAACACTTTTCAGCTATTTAGTGGGAATCTATTAGGCATTTATTACATGTAAATGTATGCTTAAGCAATTGTGACATTCTCAGCTTCTTTTACTGAGGGGGTTGATTTATGCCATGTTCCCATAGCCACGGTTGCACGAAGTTCCTTAGTGTTGTTCCCCGTTTGCCTACCTTATAAACAATTATCTTGTGTCAAATAATGTAAGCAATGATGGAGGACTGGAAGGGGTTCAGTGCAGCTGAACATCAGTGAGGATGTGGACAAAAAACATCTATGGGCAAAGATTTCTGCATGGAAATTTTCTGCAGACAGATTTTATTACCCCTCTTTCTAAGTCAGGGTGTAACAACTCTGTAGCTTATTTAGTGCTTCTGAAGGGAATCCCCGAGCAGGCTGCTCTCACTGAATTAATTTCCCCCCAAAGAGCACTCTGTGACCTCTCCAAGTTTTATGAAGCACAAAACTAGACAATGAACCTTGGAAGGAAACAGAGGTGATGAGTAACGTGATATTTCAAAGGGTTATTAATAACAAGCCCTGTTGAGTTACAACAACTGGCATACCCAGGAACTGTCATGAATCACACACAGGACTGCTACTTTGCAATAAACCTTTTTCACAGCTTTGAAAAGACCAGACCTTTGACCATTTACAGCTAAACTGCTTACTTACCTCTGTTCAGGTCTGGTTTACATCAGAAGAAGGGAATGGGCTATTCCCCACGTTAATGCCATAGGAGCTCATTGCACTAGCAGCTTCTAAACCTCACACCCACCTGCACACAGACTACTCAGCAGTGCCCATATTTGATACATTTCTTAACCTGGGTTTAGCTGAATTAAAAACTGAATTATATGTGACAAGAAGTGCATAAAGCATCCTGGAAATCTGCTCTACACCCCTTCCCAATTCTGCCTAATGTAGTTTCATGCTGGAGAGAGCAAGAAGGAAGACTGATGTAAATATTTTGCTCATATGCCAGATATGCTGGCAGAAGGTTGTATCTCTGCTTTTCAGGCAGATTGATGGTGTTTCTCTTGGGAAACCTCTAATGTCATTTGAGTATTCTCCTGTATTGCCAGTAAGCAAAGTAGTGTCCTACAGTGGGTGAGTAGCTTCAGATATTGCATGGTGTCCAGAGGTTTTTTTAATTGACATCTGAGCTGCCCTTCAGTATCCTGACAAGACTTCCTCCTGCGTATGGTGCCACCAGTCTTAGGGGAACTGAGCAGTTCATCTCACCAACATAAGGGCATGTGAAGTCCCGCCAAGCTTGTGGTGGGATGCATCTGAGTGTGTTCATGTGATCTCTTTAAGGTGTTTTGCAGCATGTTTTTTTCCCATTTCACCGAGGACAGAGCAAGGACTATGCATGTATGGATTTCTGCTGGTGGATCTGAACGCATGTGGAAGGAGGCAGCATGACAGCTTGCCAGGGTGACATCCAAACTGAGAAACAGAATGGAACTGTGTATGGGCTCAAGCACTCCCCCATATCCACCCTACTTAATCTTTACTGCCATCCCTAGTCCTGTTTTGCCCAATTCCTGTTAGCACAACCCTCACAAAGCCCAGGCAGATTTGGGATGGTGATTTCGAACAGGCTGTTCCTACTAGGCAGAAGGGAAAACACTCTGAGTGGGGATGGTGTATATACGTGTAAGCCATGCCATGTGCCCTGCCTCCAGCAATAAAAAATGGGCCTGCCTGTTTTATTTATTAGCACAGATGCAGCACGACATCAATCAGTGCGTAATGTGTAAGGCAGCCAGAGGAGCAAAGTCAACGAAGCTGGAGCTCCTCTGTTAGCAGAGGGCTTCTGTGCCTCTGACAGAAGACCCATATTGCCCTACAGTGGCAAGTTCGTAAAACAGTGCTAGCTGTGACAGGTTTACTGCAGACAATCAGTAATGTCTTGTGTTTACAGTAGTGAAGCATTACCATGCCTGCTGTAAAAAAAATAAAAAGCTGGGGTAAGCTTTCCCATACTCTGACCTTCCTGAGTTTTAGATATGTGCTCACAGGGTTGGGTGAAATGTGAAAAAAGTGAAGCCTAAAACACTGTTGAAAAAAAATTACAGACACAACACAGCTCTAATCCATCCATAAAAACAATGATAGTTGATATAGTGATAGTATTTATAACTCTTTGCTGTCAAAAAATAGACCTATTGTAATGAAATCACCCCTGAATACCAAGAAAGTGAGGCAGAGAGATCTAACAGGCTAGCTCTTCAGAGACACTGGTTTCCAGATCTTTGAGAGTTTAAGCTAAAATGATTTACTAGAGGTGCCTCAGACATTTCCATTTAGGCACCTCCTGAGATGTTCTCCTACAAGCCTTCCTGCACGAGTAGACATTTCTGCATTGAATTCCTTTGAATTCTAGTGAGTCATTCTTTCACCTGTAATGTTTACTAATGATTTTGGTTAGGTGCATACCTATATATGGACCTTATCACAGCTCTGTTTCCTGTGAGTATAACAAGAGCATAGGTGTTTAACAGGTAGCTGAGACAAGGTGAGCCAATTTGGTTTCTTGGAGTGAAGGTCCCACTCCCCATCCCCTTTCCTACAGACCATTTTGGCACTTGTTGGTCCTATACTGCATGAATTAAATCAACTCACTGAGTAGGCAAAGGCTAATCCAAGCAAATATCCAAGTAGATTTATCCTGCAGTAGTCACTCTTTGGGGCTCAGTGAAGGGATAAGGAAGAACCAGCACAAGAGAAGGGACAGGACCACATAGGTGGGAGAGGAAAGCTGAAAAGGAAAGGGAAAAAGCAGGATGCCCTCCTTGTAATAACAGGGAGACCAACTGTCTTGTGGCTTTGATAGGGCTTCACCTGAGCTAGCATCAGCCATGTAAAAGCTGAGCATCCAGACTAAGCTAGTTGTCCATGCCTGTTGTCCAGGCCTGTCCAGTCAATCGAGAACAGGTATCTCCAGATACATATCTAGATGTATAGCTGGAGTCTACAGAGGTGGCTAATAGCAGTTACATGCACTCAGAGCTGTTAATAGCAGCTGGAGCACCACACAGTACACAGCTAATCTGGACAAGGTGTTGACACACGGGGACATTTCTGACAACTTAGCCAGGGCATAAAGTGCTAAATATGTGATGCGGTTGATTGCGAGTGGCCAGTAAACCCCTGATCTCATGTGAATCCCACTGGGAGAAAGGTGCCCATCAAAAAATGTTTAAGCAAATTAGCATTGCCAGAGAGTCTATGATATACCAGTGCTAGAGAGAGCTAGATATCTAAGAGCTGACTATAGAGGGAGCCTACACACCTTGTTTTCAGGCTGCTCAAGTTATTTCAGACAACATGTGTTTGCACTTCATATTTATTTGCACCATGATAACATATTTTATAACTGAGAGAAACAAAGTGTACTTTATGGTTGGCTCACATTCTACTAACACATTTTTCTTAGATGATAATCACACTGTATTTGGCAAAAACCCTCTGGTCTTTGACTATTGGAGCCTAAATCCAAAAGTCACAGCTTGAGCTCGTTTCCTCATTGACCACTAATTACTACCTAGTATTGTGCAACCTAGGAATCTCTCCCTGGATGACAAAGACCACTTGGTGCATAGTCCTCACGCCTCAGCTTTTGCCGTGGCATAACTCCACATGTTGCTGGAGTTTGTTCTCTGAACTGCTGTGCCACTGGGATTTGGGTCCCTGTGTGAGGAGCTGCTTAGGCTAGGGCAAGGGATACTCGAGCTGCCTGGGGGGAAAGAAATTGTCCCTAGGGCAGCTTGGCTTGTGAACCTGTGCCATGGTCCCCAGGGTCCTGCTGCTTTGCTCTGACTTCCCAAGGAGGCAGCAAGGTCACCCCACAATGTGCCTGGGGTTTGCACAGCCACTCTTATCAAAGAGGGCAGTGATAACAGGTTAACCAGAAGGAGCAAAGGAACCCAGGCAGCCCTGTAACTACCAGCACAGAGCCTGGAGGCTGTCCCAGGCATTTCAGGAAAAACACACAGGTTTTGTTAAATGCTGATCAGAGCTTTTTCCTGAGCCCACCCACCCATCCAGTTCACAAAACTCCTCCTAGAGCTGCCCAGAGCTGGTGAGTACATCCAGCAGTACAGCTGAGGCTGGACCTGGCCAGAGCAGTCTTCCCAGCCCTGGGGTAGTACAGCACAGTCTGTCCACAGTTATCCTCGACTCAGCCTGCCGTCACTGCCACTGGCGTGACTGGGAAGCACTCA